ATATTTTTATCTTTATTTTGGATGATATTTACCTTTTGGATTTGTTTTATTTTATTATATATGTTTAAATAGTTTTTTCATTCTTTTCAGTTTTTGGTTTATAACATTGAAACCCCTATACCTCCACACATGGTGTGGACTAAACACCTAGTTGACAAACAAAAAATAAATCAATATATGTTTTGGCCTAAAAAAAAGTTTAGGTATAAATATTCGATTTTCAGAAGTTCTGGTATGTTTGAGCACAGCAAAATTGTACATACACTAATCAGTACCATTTCACACGGTTAAGACATGAATAAGCTGTTTTCCCTATTTTATATCAGTCCAAAGGTTCAGAAAATTTTAGAACCAATATTATTATCATGTGTCTTAGTTTGATTTCTTTTATTGAACAAAATCTTAGTTTGATTTCTAATAAGTAATTAAGCAAAACCAATCATAATCAACTCAGTTAGAAGCGTAACGAATTTACGTTTGAGTCCAACATCTTCAAACTTTTGCTTACGAACAAGCCTAACAATTGTCATTTCCTTACAAAAATCTATTGTACAAGTCTATCAATTTTCGTTCCCAGAAAGATTCAGATTCAGCTTCAGATTCAGCCTCAGCTTCAGCTTCAGGTTCAGCTTCTATATTATCCTCAACAAATACGAGCTCGCATGTGCTTGAAGCTCGGGAAGAAAGTGTCAACTCCTTGATCATCTTAAGGTTTGACACATGAAACTTCCTTGTATCAGCCAAGATTGTTGCCGTCTTCAAGCGACAAGCGTTCTTCAAGATGTAAACCGCAATGTCTCTATCTTGCGGTCTCCCAAAGTACCGTGACCAGTTGAGAATTTGTAGACTCGACAACAGGCATTCAGGAACAGAACTCGGTTGATTCCAGCACACCATTTCATTTCTCCAATCATCGTCATGAGACTGAGACCAAGAAGAAGAAACAGATAAAGACCATACTACGCATTAAACCAACTAAAACACAAATTTATCCGACAAACTTACTTCCATGTGAGAGATGTCTAGTACTCGTAAGTTGGGAGAATTTTTGAGCAATTGGCCAAGGAGAGTTGACGAATCCTTTTTGCACGCACATAGCTTCAGATGTTCAAGATGTTTGAAAACAAAACCATCACCAGACACATCATCCTGCCAACGATATTAAGAAAATGATTAAACAGAGGATTCCACAAATGAGATTGAAGACTTGCTGCTGCAAAACTGATTACCTGTGAACATATAGTAAGACGCTTGACTGATGTGATTGATCTAATAAGACCCTTGACATTAAAGGATACTACATCAACATATGCTTCCCTCAAATTTGGCACATTCGTAATCTTAGCGTAGTGTTCCTTAGCATACCGATCCTCAAGTTTGAAATACGTCAAAGAAGGAGCATCTATCACATACCCACCTATATTCCCGCAATTAGGTATTAAGAGTGATAAACTCCGCAAAGACGGGACGATGATAGTGAACTCTTTCACACACTCCCCTTCACCACTAAAATGCACAGATAATTCTTCAAGAACAGGACATATAGATAGAAGTCGTTGAAGAGATCCTTGATTAGCGTATTCAAGATATTGAAGCTTCAAGGTTTTCAGAGAGCAAAGAGAACCCGTTGAGGGAACATCCATGAGATTTACGAAACCGAGTTTCAGGATCACGAGCGATGCGCAGGTGTAGAAGCTGCCCGGGAATATGTTTTTGCTCTTCGAATCATAAGAAACTTCCAGCTCACGTACATTGCGAGAAACCGAAATCTCAACCCACCGTTTAAGAACTGCAGGTTTAATACTACGATATCTGAGGTCGAGACGCAAGCTTTCTATGACCGGAGCTCTATGTAATGGCAGATTCTTGTCAACAAATTCCCGAAGTGTTGTAGATCTCATTCTGTCAAAAATTTCACGAAGTGTTGCAGACTCTGGATAATCTCTACTACTGTAGTCATTGCTATTACTGTACTCAAGATTAGGCAACCACATCCAAAGAAACTGCCATCGTTTAGACAAGACGCTAGTGGATACAGCAACTTTGGTTGGAAGATACGATAATATCTTCACCAGCAAGTCATCAGGCAAATCACTGAGTCTGGCCATATCGTACAGATTCGTCAAGATACAAAAAGAAACTTGGATTCTTGGTCCTCCCTGCTGAAAAATTGAAAAAGACCTCAACACCTAACACTCAAAAGGATTTTCTCTAAAGCCAAGCAAATGAATTAGTGACGAGACAGCAACATACAGGAACAGAGCAAAACCCTAGAAGAAAAGATCGGAAACCGGAATCAGAAGATAAATCGGAGTTCCCACAAGAAATGCGAAAGCATTTGTTGACACTATTATATCCAATTCAATTTTCTGAATAAATGTGATCGAATATTTGATTTATGAATCGAGAAAGGGCAAAATCCAAAATAAAACTTGAACCGAGAAAACGAAGAAGAAAGAAATCGAAACCACAGACGAAGGAGAATCGTTATCATCGTCGCTACCTATCAAACGGTTTCGGATTCGATTTTAATTGGATTACTGAATCTCAAGATATCAAAATTGCGGAATCCATTGTTTCTTTTTCTCTAATCTCATTTCCTAGAGAATCTATACGATAAGCCATATTCATTGTTACCTCGATTATGCTCTGGAGACTTCTGAAAGGAATGTAATCGCCAATCGTAGGTTGAACTTTTCAAGCTTCTTGTGAGATATCAAACACTGATACACGAGAGGAAGAGAGAAGTCGAGTGTCGAGTGAGGAAGAAGAAGAAGATCTAGGATTTAGACTAGTTAAACCAAACCGGTCAATTTGTATTTGGTTTCGATTATAATAAACCCAGTGAGCTCCGCCAAAAAACGGAACCAAAAACCGGACCAATCGAATCGAACCAAAGGAAATAAAAGAGTAAGGGTAATATCGTCATTTAATACAGCAGAAACCCTTTCTTCAGTCTTCTTCACCTACGTCTCTTCTTCTGCAACTTTCCCTATAGTTATTCTCGCCGGACGATCCAAACCGGAGAGCTTCCGCCGACCGGTAATTTCATTGATTTCCCTTTTTACTCTTACCAATTCGAAACCTTAATTTCGATCAAATTTCATCTGATGTCTCATTTTCTATGTAGTCAGAATCTTATTAGGTTAATTAGTTCACGAATCATTTGGGGTAATGGCTCAGATTTTGGTAGAATCATCTTATGATATCCATATTTCTTGTGAATCTGAAGTTTAGCTTCACGAAATGTGATCCGAATTAGGGATTTGTTTTTCGAGATCGTCTGATATTTTCTTCCTCTTTGGTTAATGGCTGATTTTAGGTTGAAATTGATTTAGAAGAGAGGATGTTGAAGTTTCTATCAAAAGTAAGAATCGAGTTCAACACATTGGATCCAAGACTCGCGTCTTGTGTTGAATTCTTAGCTCAATGCAACGCGAGGAAAGCCAAAGAGTCGAATCCGAACTGTCAGGTTATGGTGAAACGTCGAACAGACGATCAGCCACCGCAGATCACAGTCACGTTCGTTAATGGCGTCGAGGAAGCTTTCGACGCGGCAGCGACCTCGGCTCAGTCGATAAGGAAGATGATTCTCGATAAAGGTCAGTATCTCGAGACAGAGCAAATGTTCCGTGAAGCCAAAGAGCAATGGCCTGTGATCATTCCTGAAGAAGAGATTCACCAACAGGCTCCTGGTGTCAAGGTCTATCTCATTGCACAAATTTCATTTCCTCACTGAATCTAATAGAAAAGTGAAAACTTTGAACAAATCCATGTCCAAAACATCAGTATAATTTCCAAAGTTTTGACCTTTGTGCGGTTTTGTTGTTTTTTTTGCAGCCGAGAAAAGCAGAAGACAAGAAGTAATGCTGCTTGCTTCATTGATATCTGTTGGTGTAACACTTGTTCAATTGACAAGTCTTAGCTTTGGGAATGTAAGATTTGTACTCAGTGGTATGTGTCTCAAGCTTAGGGTTTCTGGTTCGGACAGATAGATTTGTATTGTTTCCTTCTTTATAAGAGTCGGAAATGGATGAACTTTGGATCAGACTCTAGGGCTAATACCTTGTGTGGAATAAAAATGCAATTTTTCGTTATGTCAAAGCAACTCTCTGCCTTGAGTTGGGGCAACAACAGTATAAAATTTATGTCAAACCAAACTTGTTGAACTTTATTGATAGAGAAGACAAAAGTAGAAGCTTTGGTTCGAGTTTTGGACACCAATACTCACACATTGAATTCACGAGCTCATAAACAGGAAATGAGTTTTCTTCAATTGTATATATTTTACAGACAAAATCTCTATTAAAAACGTATGTGTAATGTAACAAACAAGTCTTTGTCCTTTGTTCATTACCTCTCTTCCTTTCTAGGAGCATTGGGATTACCCATCATGTCCATCATCATTTTCTCAGGTGAATCTTCCCAATTCGTAAACGTCTTCAAGTCGATCTGAAGATTAAAAAGAGGTGTCAAATTTGGAAAACTTTGTGCATTTGCATATTACAAAACATCTCTCATATTTGGTTTTTACCTTTCGACGTTGGCCAGTGAAAAGCTCTTCTCTTTTCTTGTATGTTTCTTGAACTTCCTTGGCTGCTTTTCCACCTAATGCCCATACTTCGACTTCTAACACTGAAGCCTCTACTGTTAAATAACCCTGAAGCGATAATGTACAACAAGAGATTTCATGAAGATCCAAGAGGACAACATTTGACACATATAGGCGTTTTGTGGAATCTTCGGTTTTTACCTGGTTTGGGAAAAGAGAGCCAGGCTGGTAAGTTTTATCACAAGCATGATGACGAATTGTGATTTTAGCAAAGTCTTCGTCAATGAAAATTCTCTCGTTTCCTTGTGTTCCTCCGAATCCAATCCCAACAGGCTTGGGGTTTGCATCGTAGACTCCTCCAGATGGATGCAGATGGCTATATGCAAAGTTTTTCTCCTTGCCTGAAGATGAACAAAAGAACATAATAAAAGACTTGACTATAATGCAAAACTGAGTGTGCAGAAGAAAGTTTCCATTTTCTGCAGTACCAGAAGAAGAGAATGCGTGAAAGACAGGACTAATGGAGACAAGTTCCCAGAGCTTCCGTAAAACGTGTCTCTGTTCTCAAAACCCTTGCTGCAAGATTGCACCAATGACCCACTTCCTCTCGCTTGAACTACCCTCATGATCAACTCCACAGCTTGCGGAAACAATCATTAGTATTGGAGCATGATAACCTTGAACGTTGGACCACAATCGATTCATTCCTTTCCCATGATAGTATGAGCTGAAAGAGAGACGAACATAACTTAAGCACACTAAAGAGACAGAATCTTCAAGAACCAAACAGATGTACACATGAAAAATAAGCCAAAACAAGTTGCTCATAAATTAAGGCAGTGGGATACCGGTAAAGGAGATTTTCATTCGGTTCATCACCAGTGCAGGGAAAGCATGAGCTCAAGATCTTCTCGCTTATTGTATTTTTGCATGTCAAGGAAATCGCCCATGCCCTTCCACATGTCAGAAGTGTGTTTTCGCATGTCTTGGACGCAGAATCATCTCCACCAGCTGACTTTGAAGGTCCAGATCCATCCTGAAATCCCATCATTCTATGAAACTTCATACACAACTTTTCGGTTTAAAGCAAAGCAGCAAGAAGAGAGAGTACCTCTACATTCAAAGAGTGTTGAAGTCTCGAATTACAAAAGTGATTAAGACACTCAGTGAGGTTTGGAATCGTCGACAAGGCCCACGTAAGGAACTTCCCGACCGGAAGTTCAAGCTCTGATTCGAACACATCAGAATCCCAAACATCCAAACTGTTTCCAGATTCAGTGCAAGACACAATTGCTGATAGAATCAAATGACTTATATCGGGAAGAAACAACTCGTCAGAGTTATCGGTTCGACCATCCCACGACATTGTCCAACACACCCATAGAAACATAAGCAGCTCCAATGTCGAAATCGACCCGTTGATCTTGCAATCAGATTCATCGGATTCAAACTCAAGCTTTGGAGAAAGTCCTGCGTTTTTAGCTGTGGCATGAAACAATCTCAACAAAGTGTTGAAAGACATCGAAGCCGACATTCTTCCGCAACATTTGACATATCCTCTAGCGAACTCGACCCAGCTCAATCCTTCTTTCTCAGGCACGAAGAACAAATCTACTAAAGATGGTCCTAAATGCTCCAACAATCTCGGAAATGAATCTGGGACTTCCTGGCTTCCTTCAGAAGTAGTTGTATTGTAGCTCACGCAGAAACTTTGCTAGAATAAGAAATAACAAAAATTGATGAAACTCAAGCAGAGATCTCAAATGGACGATAAGTGATACGATTCGCTACGATCGAACTCAATTTTAGAAACCCTAAGTTAAAACTTCACAATCAAATTCAACGAATTTTGACGGTTTGTGAAATAGATTCTAAAATTGCTGAAATTGCAAACCCAGATATGAAACCCTAATCGGAAAATCGAGTAATACCTTGAAGGATTGAAAAGAAACTGTGTTGGTCTGAGAATCGGCGAGCTTGGAGAAGGATCGTTGAAGCAAAGGAAGAGCTCCGGTTGAAGCAGCAAGGCTTTCGATTTCTCGCTTCTCCGATAACTCTTTGTTATCCGTCGAAGAAGAAGCACCCATAGTGAGAAGAAGATGATTTGGAGAAGATGAAAAAACCACACAAAGATTCAGAGCTCTGTTTCAGAGGGAATAATCATAGAGATTGTGTCCATGATTGCTTTATGATCTATAAAAGGATTTTGAACAGTTCTCTATATCTTTCACGGTTCGCCACGTAGTGCCTTTTGAGTCAACCCTGGATTGATCCGGTTCCGGTTAGTGATAAATCAAAACCGCAGAGTAGACATTATATAAACGCAGTACTTAAGAAAATAGATCCGGCCCATTAACCTGAATGTTGACCCGTATGTGTTCTACTTATAAGAGCATGTGCAACAGGGTCTCTACCTGATTTTTTAATTTTTTAAATAAAATTAAATATAAAAAATAGCTAAAAGGAAAAAACGTCTTCTAATTAACAGACATAAGGAAACATACATAAAAGACGTCTCTTATGACATGTGTTAACATGTTATAGGTTATTTTTTTCTTTTCTCTCTTAAGCAGACATGTGGCAAAAAAAAATTTTATATTATAAATTTTTTTTTTTTTTATTTCTCGACGTTTCTCCATTGCACATACCATAATACTCTCTTTTGTTCCAAAATACTTAATATTTTAAAATTTTTCTTTGTTCCAAAATAGATGATGTTTTGGAAATATTTAGTGCTATTATATTTTACGAGAATTATTTAACAGCATAATTTATTTAATTATTTGAAGTAATAAATTTTCATATATAGACAAACTGATAGTATCAAATGATGGAGCTAAAGTTCATTCATAATTATTATAGATCATTTAATAAGTATGTGAAAAAAATTTTGGAAAGTGAAAAGACAAAAAAATAACTAAAAATAACACATATTTATTGTTTTTTAATAAGAGTGAAATTTCTAAAACATCATCTATTCTGGAATAGATGGAGTAGTTTTTTTGTCTTTTTCTGTATAAAATTGCACCTACGATCATCTGTTAAAACTTGAATATAGATTGAGTTGCGTGTACATTGAAAACTTGTTATAATTTTCGTTGTGATCATGTCAGCTGACATTGTGTTTAGGTATCAATCTGAAAAACTTGGTGACTCTAGTACTATTCATATTCATGTTCACCTTTACCTTCACCACCACGCATATGATACTCATCAATTCTATTTACGTTGATGTTCCCCTTCACATTCACAATAACGCCTCTGTCTCCGCCATCACTTTTATCAAAACGCATGTTATCCTCGTTACTCCAATTAATTTGATTCTCATCTCTCCATTCTTGATTATCATCTTTTTGTCTTTTATTTTTCTTTATTAGCAGAAGGCGCTAGACAATATGTAACCATGAAGCTTTTTGGGGTCTGAGATTTAAAAGGATTAAAAACAAGTAAAAAACAAAATACATTGTGCACAATTTTTGAATATTAAACTTTAGTCAATTGTTATACTTTGCCGACAAATGTAGCTATAAATCATCATTCTTGGTTGCATAGGATCTTTGTTGATGAACTGATTGCATGGAAATAAACTTATGAAATGATAACATAAAAGCGAAAAATTTGTATGGGGGCAGATGGTTGAGGGAAGCTACGTTCAAGATTTCTACTTGGGAGTAGCTTATGAACTAAGCGAGATAAAGATGGAAGATATCGTTGAGTATTACAACAATTACTTCAAACGATCATCTCGCACAATTGCCATAAGCTTGAGGTTTGTGTATAGGGATGCAACATGAATCCTCCATAAAGTTGCATTTAAAAAGAAACCGCATACGATCGATCTCAAGTGCAAAAACCATTACTTAGTTATTTTCTTTAAAAAAGCTTGGTTCCTAATATTTTGTTATTTAGTTGTTAACTCAAACTTGTAATGCTTTTTGATTGGACCCTTTTTTTGAACTTGTGAGATTTCTGTGATCATCGGATCATGGTAAAGAATAATTGTATCCTTTAGTTGTCTATGTATTGAAAGCGTGTGTATTTTTGGTGTTTGTATACATATGTGTAATTAATGATGAAGATTCCACAATCTTTTAGACTTTGAGGAGTGGTTTTAGGCTGTTGATTTCATTATTATTATTTTTTGTTGCTTACCCTTTTTCCTTTTGCCAAAGTTGTTTAGATTCTTTGTCCTTGTTTTCTTCAGTAAAGGAAAACCAAGATGGAGTCATGGAGAGAGCCAATATGTTCACACTTCACCGCTTACAAATATTCAGGTCGAAACCAACAAATGAGATTGGATCATGTATACATTTTGATTAGTTTGCAATTTTACAGATTAGAGTAGCTAGAGATTAAATGTTGTAATGCATATTTGAAGGAATTTTTCTTATGAGCTTCAAGTTTGCATCTGAGAGTAGAGAAAGCATGCTTTCTGAGCATCCTATATGGAACCACAAAATTTTACGAATGAGAGGCAGTATAGGATGCTCAGAAGAAAACCTTACCATAAAAAAACATCAGGTGATCAGGTAGATCCTTTTAGTAACATGCTTGCATAGAAAACATATCACGTGAACACTTATTCCAAGATTTCGAGGTAAAATCAGATCCTTTTACATCTTTGTAGTTAATCATCTGCAAAAACAAGATTCATACTAAAGTATACATCTCAGAGGAGAATTTTTGTTTAGAAGAACGAACGATGAAAGATACATAGAAATAGGACATGAAATGTGAACACTCGTCAAGTGATGTAATTATATATTAACCACAAAAAAAGCACCAACTTATATTAAGAAAACAAACAGAGAGATAATCACATAGATAAAACTGAGGTGGTGAATCGGGACCTAACACTGAAAGAACCGCTGGTGCAAACTTTAACCTCCATCGTTTTGAGGTCATTGACGATGCCAGACGCAGCTTGAGGCGGCAAGTCCTTTTGTCTCCTGTGCCGATATTTTAACCTTAGCGGCTCGTGATTCTGTCCTCCTCGTAAGTATACTTATACAAATATATATTATACAAAAGAGAACTAAAGAACTACATGTCTTGAAGGTTTTAAACGCCATTTTTTTTTTGCGTTTGGGTTTAGATACGAACTAGAAATAAAAAAAAATTATTTTCTTCTCAAAAATTATTTCACAACATATACGCAGGACCAGCCCAGAGCATAGACGAAGTAGGCGACGGATTAGACCATCCAATTTACGGGAGCATATTTTGGTTAATTTTTTTTTTGTACAGAAATTATATATATATATATGTATATATATATAAACAAATTTAAAAGATTTTTTATAAGACAATAATATTTGTAAATTTTTTTGTAATGTTTATGAACTTTTCTCTAAAAAAATATTGGTTAGAAGGGCAACAAATTATATTTTAGAAAGAAAATAGAATTTGTAGACTTGAAGGTTTCTTTAATGAATGTTATGCAGATATAGTTGGTGATGATCTGTTTATGGAATTAGAAATTCTCCGAGAATTAATACCAAATGAAGTTGGGAAACTTATTGAAGTGCTTGATTTTTTGAAACAAATGGAAAACACAGAAGTTTCATATCGCATATTGTTGACAGTTCTAGTATCGGTTGCTACTGCTGAAAGAAGTTTTTCGAAGTTAAAGCTGATAAAAATTATTTGCGATCTACCAAGAACGATTAAATGAACTAACTTTGTTATCTATTGAGACAGCTATGTTGAAAAACTCGATTATGAGAGTTTAATAAACGATTTTGTAGGGAAAAAATACAAAAATGACCATATTTAATAATAAAATATTAGTTTTATTGTGTTTTTTTGTATTTTTATAAACTATTTATGGAGTTGAAATATTTTATGATTTTTTCTTTTTTTTGTTTTTGTATTATTTGTTATTTTGAAAAAAAAAATTTTAAAAAAATTATATTTAAAATTTTAGATTATAGCATTTAAATTTTAGACCAGAGCATTTAAATTGATTAATCCGGCACTGCATATACGCCTAAATGCAAACAGTGTGTTTTTTTGTTTACCGTTTATGTTTAGAATTATAAACTGAAAATTAACCTAAAAATTGTTGATTCCTATGAAAAAAGATACACTACATGTACGTTAAACCATAAATATGGCCTTCGAAATACATCGAAAGAGATTTTAATCAAACATTACGATTAACATTTTACGTAGCGAAAAAAAGCCTTTGAGAGGCGATTCCCAGATCTACTTTTATTTTCCTTGCCGACAACAAAAAAAACATCTTCGATCTTCCTCTCCGGCGCGCGTGGTGGCTCACCGTCGCCGGAGGAGGGACCACGTTGACCTCCTCTTTCATTTGGTTGACTTGTTGTTGTGCTTGGCCGTTGGCTCGGTTGTGGTGTTAAAGTGAAGTTCTCCATCTCCAGCGTGTGTTTCTGGATCGACGGCGGCAGAGCCTCAGCGGCGTTGCTGGGGTTGTGGTGGTGGAAGGCTATCTCCTCGTGGTCATGTGTCTCTCCTCTGTTCGCCTCTTTCTTTGCTGGCGGTTTTCTTCTCTTTGGTGCTCACCGGCGTTTTCCTCCGGCGGTCTCCATCGGCTTTTCTTTGAGAGTCCTCGTCGCCGGTGACGTGCTCTCTGACTTTCCTCGGTGGTGATGCTCGTCTCTCCCTGTTTAAAGTTCCACTCTGCCTTGTTTTGCATATAGTGGTGTTCCCAAGGTGGAGGTGTGGTGGCGATGTAAGCTCTGGTCTCCTCGGCTACGGCGGCGGTGGTTTGGACCTCGAGGACGGGTTCAATCTCTGGTTCGGTATCTCAGGAGATGTTTTGCTTGTGGCTGGCCTCGGAGTGGTGGCTCTCGTTTTCCCGGCGTGCGCGGCTCCACCTGCTGTGTTTCTTGGCGGTGGCTCTAGGCGGGTGGCTCAGCGGCAGTTTCTCTCGGTTCGTCGGAGAAGCTCCGGCCGGTGCCGTCTTTTCACCGTTGTGGCTCAGGTTTTGCGGTAGGTGTGTGTGCTTGTTCTCGGCATTTTTTCAGCAGCTTCGCAGATTGGTCTTCGTCTTGGTTCGTGATGGCTCCGACTTAGTAGTTCGGTGTAGATGGTGGAGCGTCTCGAGACGTGTATTGTAGAGGTGCCGGTTTGTTGTTCGGTTAGGTTGCAACTGTGGAGGTTGGTCCTTATGGAGATTTCGGTTTCTACGGGAATGATTTTCGGAAGTGACCTCTCCGATTACCGCTCAGACTTCCTTGTCACCAGTTGTATTTTAGTCCGTTATGCATTCCGGAGATTGCGTTAGTTCTCGGAGAAGCTGTAGGCGTCTCCTTCCGGCGGTTGGAGGATGCCTCGGATTGATGCTCGTGGCAACTATGATGTGAACTCCAGCTCTTTGAGCTGCAGCAAATACGGGATGGTCCGTGCTTTAGCACGTGATTGCTGCTTTCTCGTCTTGTTTTGCTTCGGTTTTATCTTTTTTGTTTCACTTACCGGTTCTTTACCTTTCTTTGTGTTTTTGTTGCTTCAATGTCGGTTTTCGTTTGTCGTAGATTTTAGTTTTCTGCTTTCTTTGTCGTACCTCTGTATTCTGTAAAAAATTTGAAAAAATTTGGTATAAAATTTAACATTTAACCAAAAAAAAAAAAAACATTTTACTTAGCTTTGCATGGGTGCATGCATGTAGACGTACGAAAGGACAAAGCTGGCAAGTCCCAACAGGACGTAGAGATTGACGAGTTTCCTTTTCAATGAGCGTTGATAATCTTCCCTCTCCAAGTGACTCTGTCGCCGTTCAACAAAGGAAATTCGCTGCTTTCGCGATCTTGTCGCTCTCGTCGGTCAGTAATTTCACAAAACTAAAGATTATGGATTTTACAAACTATTTTCAAATTATAATAGAGCTAATTGATTAGTTTAGATGGAAACAACAAACGTTTTACGTGGATCAGAATATTAACAATATTATATGGATATATGTAAATTTAATAGGAGGACACACGATTGGAACAGCTGTGCCTGTGTGTGGCTTCTTTACGAAAAGAATATTTAATACTACCGGAAACACAGCAGATCCAACCATGGACCAAACATTCCTACCACAACTTCAAAGACTTTGTCCCCAAAACGGTGATACGCATCTAGGCGCATGGATCTTGACGCTGGAATGGCAATACTTAATTTTGACACTTCCTTCTTTAACAATCTCAGCCGTGGCAGAGGCATTCTTCAATCCGATCAGATTCTTTGGACTAATCCAACGACTAGATGACTAGATCTATCGTGCAAGAGTTTATGGCTTCTAGAGGCAACTTCAATGCTCAGTTTGCGAAGTCGATGGTTAAAATGAGTAATATTGGTGTGAAAACAGGGGCAAATGGTGAAATTCGTAGGGTTTGTTCAGCTATTGAATAAACTGATAGGTTAAATTTAATGGCTAATTAAGTTGCTTCGAGTGTTTGATTTGTTTAGAGTGTGTTTCTAATTTTAGTATCGTTTGAATCAGTTGAAAAGAACCCAAAAGTGGGTTGCTGGAAATTCTACTAAGTTAAATGTAACATCCCTATCCCAGGCTCCTAAGAGAGCGGGGAACTGGGTATGTTAGATCGGCTATCGAACCGCGTTCGATAGGATGTCCGATTTGGTGAGCACACAGGATCGCCAGGAAAACGCCCAGGTAACAATCAACAACACAGATTTAGGCTGATCTCTCTACTAAACCTGAAAGACAAGAGGAGAGGAGGGGTGAGTAATTGGGATTACTCAGTGAAGATGGACCTTAAGGAGGCCCACAACATCATCAAACTAGCAAAATTGGTTTTAAGAGATCTAATCCTAAAGCAAGCCCAAGCAACACATTTATAAATATATTTACTTATATATAAACAGTTCATTCCTAACAATCAATCACACAGCATTCAAGGGTAACCCTACAAGCAACTACACAAGCAGCGGGTCCCTGGCCTTTGCCAGTTACAGTGGACTGCCACGTAGGGCCCCCATGCCTCACCCGGAAAGGCAACCAGAGTAATCCCATCCAATGGCTGGCCTATTACCATACCCATTAGTCAGGTCTACTCTGCCAGTCACACAGACTGGTCCACAGCAATCACCAAGACAGGCTATGACACTAACGGTCACTCAGACGGCTGCTCATAGCGGTCTCACCAGAAAGTTGTACCCAGCGGTCCCTTTAGACGGCTCAATAAACAGTGGATCGCTAATCCACTCCAGCAATGGCTCTAGCCGTGCCTCACACGACAGCGATAGCCAACAAACAACACTGACTCCCGCCTCCAGGAGCCAGGGTCCTATCAGAGATCTACTATGCACAATCATCCATTTCAAAGAATCATCCATTTCTTAAAGGTCCTTCCATTATTAAGATGCACTTTTGGTGATACCAATTGTAACAAAAAGGAACATTAATCAGGTCAACATCACACAATCAATATTTTAAAATCCAAATAAGTTAAGATCCATATTCAGGTTAATTATCTCATTCCACCAGCAACCAGCAATCATCAACAAACAGACAACATAGATCCAGGTCCTAACAATGCTAACAGCCCTAACAAGCAGATCTAAGCCTGATCTAAGAAAAGACCACTTAAAAGACAATCATGCATATGTAAGAGAGGATGAAGCCACAGAGCCCTCACCTTGGCTTAGAAGGCTGAGAAACTGGAGGAGTAGGGAGAGGAGAAGGAGATCTAAGAGGAGATCCATCAGAATCAGCTCCCATCTCACCCAAAGGAGAAGGAGGCGACGCAGACATCACGGCTGGGCAAGGGAGCTTCGGCGGAGAGAGAGGCTTGGAGGATGGCAGCGGCCGCGGCAAGGAGAGAGAGAGACACGGCCAAGAGATAGAAGGAAGAAGAAGAAAACGCAGAGGGAGAGAGGAAGAGAGCAGCTCGGCGCAGAGAGGAGAGAAAGAGGGAAGAAAAAGGTGGTTAGGGTGGATTAGGAGCTTAATTAGGGTTTTAGGGATTTAATTAGGTATTTATATGGAGGTTTAATAGATGGGTTGGACTTAATGGCTCTTAGAAAGAAATTAGGAAAGACCCAAATAAAAAGGAAATAAAAAGAAAAGGAAATAGAGATGGTTTAATTTAATAAAACCGGAATTAGGAACTGGTAACATCCGATATTTGGTTAACCAAAAGTCGGGATGTTACATTAAAGGTATATGTATTTGATTTCTTTTGGTTTAATTTGGTCGAATTAGTAAAATTCCATTAGCTCTATCTGAAAAAATCAATATGATTAAGTTCGGCGACCGTTTTTTCTTTTAACGTTTGAGTATACATTTTTACTTAAATTATATAAATGATGATTATAGTACTATATCTGGAAAGTAAACGCAGATGCCAATGTAAAACTAGTTTAATCATATTCTAAAAAAGGAACAATACATTAGACATGCAAAGTTGGCAGAAATAGAAATTTTGACCATCAATGATAGATAGTTACAAAAATGTCAACAAAAATATGATGAACATGACACAAAGATGTATTGTTATTCGATTTGCTTACAACTGAAGCCCACGTTTAAGAAATTGACACTAAAGAGGCATAGATGGAGAAGTTGAGGAGAAAGTGTTTGTAAGATAACCTCAAGCAGAAGAAAGAACAATACTAAAGTTGAAACTACGATCTTGGAACGACAAGATCATGGTGCAACAAAGATTCATGGTTCTTGTTGTACATGATATGGCCTTCAGTGACGGTGATTAGGAGACTATAAGAATCGTATAAGGCTTTATGTCGTTTAAGGATTTTTAATTATTTTTGCCAATTTCTGTTTAATTTCTTTTTAGGATTATTTTTACATTAGGTTTGTTGTTGTTGTAACACATAGTAATTCTGCTAGAACAACTTTTTGGGTGCAAATGACATATTAGAGAAAAAACTGAATTGAATTGATTATTCCATTGAATTCTTCGAAAATCAACCATTTAGATGAAATTGAACTTTTCGGTTTTATGTTCAACCCCAGCAAAAACTGGAAAATAAGCTTAATATATTCCACTAAATTTTGTTCTTTTAGAAAAAGGAGAAGAATATGTTAGTGAAAAACAACCATTAATGATGAGGCAAGGAGTAAAATAGCTATCAGGTATATTAAACTCAGCTATATGAGTCAAAAGTAATATTAAACTCAGGTATATGAGTCAAAAGTAATTGGAGGTGCTGAGTCAAAAGTATATCAAAAGGCCATGTTCAAATCTTGTACACAGAACAATTTATATTGTCTTGCTTTCGACCTTTTAAATCTCATGTTCGGTTTTTCTGTATATCTTTGGCCATATAAAAATCTTAAAAAGAGCAAGAAAAATTAAAAATTTTGTCTCGGTAATTGGAGATCTGAATCCAACGTCATATTTCTACAACCCACTTGGAGGCTTGATTCAAAGGAGTACATCAGGTTAAAAACACTTTATGTTTCCTCATATTTTGTCTGGGTAATTGGAGATACACATTATCTATTTATGATAGATCAGATTCAACCCGATTTAACTCGATTTAACCCAATTCAATGGTGTCAATGTGCAAGCGCTCTAGATAGAGAAAGAAAAAGGGAGAGTTGTAAATATAGAAAGACAAAAAGACTTTTCAGGTGCGAGAAGAAGATATGTTTGTATCTCTCTATATATATATGTGTAATTGCATTACATTATAATGGAAGTTTTAGTATTTACAAAACAATCTATGTGCCAACATCATATTTCTATATTTCTACAGCCCACCTAGAGGCTTCATTCAAAGGGGTACATTTAAAAACAATTTGTGCTTGAACTCCATGCCTCAGAAGCCAGGTGTGTTTGAACTCCATTCCCCATAAGCCAGGTGTGTTTGAACTCCATTCCTCGGAAGCCAGGTGTGCTTGAACTCCATGCCTCAGAAGCCAGGTGTGATCGAGATGAGCTACAAGCAGAAGTCTTTCTAAGCTCCAAGTTGCAAGTTGCCCTCTCTTCCGGTGTACTCACGATCTGCAAAGAAAGTGGCTCCCCCAAATCAGCTTGTGAAGCATGGAAGGTGTTGCCGGTGCAAAAAGCCAACGCCTACTCAGCAGAAGATGATGCATGGTCCAAGCATGCTGGTCCTAGATTGTATTGTGTATTCCTCGAGCTTCTCTTTTCATGGTTAACAATCTTAACCTAAGACTAGCCTTGTTGCCAACAAAAAAGGGAAAAAATAATTAGAACAAACCTCATGATTACCAAACTGAAAAAAAAAAAAAAAATTTAGACCAGCCTCATAATTACCAAACTGGTCTTTTCGGTAAGGGTTCAAAAATCAAAAACAAGAGCTGAGCATGATTTCCTCTTCTATTAAACTTCTTGGTCAAAATTCTTGGATCTAACTATCTAAGTTACCTCTTAAGTCTTAACGATCACTTCTTGCTGGTCTGTGTCTACATATCAAGAACCATTGGAAAGTAAAACCCCGAGAAAAACACTAGTTAGACCAGCCTATAAGAAAGATCTGCATTTGATAATACCTCGATAGACAATCTGGTTACACAACTCACCTCTCGTTTTCACTACACATGCATTTCTATGGACTTTATGTACTTTTGTTCGTAATGTCCTCTTATAACTATGCCTAGCTCCTCTTATATTCATTTTCTTTGATGGAAATGTGATAAATCATGGTTTTTATGATTTTTGACCATGATATAGGTTTTCTTTATAGAGTTTTTCTAGTCTTTTTCGAGTATTTTTGAGTCTTAAACAGGTTTAGGTGCGTTTGGAGCATAATTAGATATTTTGGAGCATTCTGGAGCCAAGCAAAGATCATTATCGTGAAAGATTATTTATTTACCTTGGTGTTGATCGAAACCAATATTGGTGTCGGTCAACACCGATTTTTTGAAAAAGAAAATGCAATATTTTAGCTTTATATTAGGTTTCTCAGCCACCTGTTTTGGCTCACCTTGATTTTTATTCTTCAATACTTTGAGAGCTTTTTGGGAGAGACAAGTCTGAGATTCTGTTCGTTTGAGAGAAGATTTCGAACCCCTTTTTTTAATCTATCTATTCTTTTCTACAATATATTCAATCATCTTTATTGTTTCAATCTTCATGTCTGAGTAGATTGTTTTTTATGTTTAGAGTTTCTCATAAAAGATCTCTTTGAATGCTAGATTAACTAATTTGTTAGGATTCATAATCTGGTTAGTTCTTCACCATAGATTGTTCTTAAAGCTAATTATGGACCGATCACCTGGACTTAGATCTTAGGTTAATTGATTTGATACGAAAGTATGATTGATAATCTGATAGAACCTATGGTGAGCAACATAACTATCCGCAAAGAAATTTGGTTTAGTTGTTTTGTGAATAAATCAAACCTGCACTTAAAGCTTGTTTAGTCTTTAGGATTTGCAATAAAATTTGGGATTCTGAGAT